AAAACACATAGCAGACATATAGTCCGCTTCTTGATTTCATTTCATTGCTTCTGATGCTTTCCTGGTATCGTTCCAGTGCATAGGATACCAGTAGACTGTGCACAAGACTAGTTCCGTGTCCTCATCCGTATGAGGAGAGCCTTAGGGATGACAGTAGAGACAGCGAATACAAAATATAACAGAAATCTGTCCCTCTTACCTACTGTTACGCCACCTTTCTCCTATGTACCTAGCAGGTGCACTCCTGTTTCCTTCTATCGTAATAGAGGTTGTAGTCTCATGCACTTCTACACATTACAGTATCTGAAAATACACAGACAGGCTACATTCTCTCCTTTTCCTTACAGGCACTCAATTCAATATCTATCTACCATCTTGTTCCTAATCACACCCACTTTTAATATGTATCGATAGAGTTAGTGTAGAAAAGGGCACATGATGAGAAGGAAGGACATCGCAGAGACTTGTGTCCCCAGTACCCTTGCCACGTATACAATATCGTTAAGCAACACATTCCAAACTAAACACAGTGCCACTGGCTTTTCTTCCAAGATCCACATTCTCCATGTGCAAAAATCAATGTACCCACATCCTACTCAGATGACAAGCAAAGAGCAACAAACCCAAGCATGGAACAAAATCCAACATCTCATCCCCCTCCCACCAAACCCACTCATCCCCCAACTTCCCACCACACCGCTCCCACCCCTCTCGGCACCTCGGCGCCTCGGTGCCCAAAGCCCACAAAACGACCAATGCCACCCGACACCCCCTCCCCATTGTCAAGATTACCAAAACGAACACGAAAGTGCGTCATCATCCCAGCCCAACCAGGTCCACTAAAAACATGTCATCTGTCTACGCAACCTAGAGTGCTTTACGTACAACCCTAAACAACGCACGTCCATATACACGCAAGAACTAACAAAATCTGCACCTCGTATTTATCCGCTTTAAACCCTTACACGTATACTTGTCGACAGATATACGTACACCACAGATGTAGAGTAATATCCTGTGTGCAACAGTACTTACGACCATGTACGTCACCGAAACACACAGACTCGCAATATATACTACAAAAAGAATTCCAGAGTCATAGATCTTCATCAATTCTTCTCCATCGAAAGATGAACCCCTCGCCTTGTACCATATCTAGCGTTACATTATAACCTTTTGATATTAACAAGGCCCCCTTGAATCAGATAGCGACTATGTATAGTAGCGAGCAACAAAAAAAAGCAGCCTGCATGGGGTGACTAGCTATCTAGGCGAGCTAGCGGGTAAGCGTTGGTCAATGCCGGCTATCCCTCTCACTCACACACTCCCTCCCCCTCACAGACAGCTAGAAGAATACGTAAGTAAGTAGTTTAGTTAGGAAACAAGGGTTCAGAGAAATAGGACGATAATGACGATACTACTTGTTTCAAGGGTTCTTACTAGTTCCCGAGCCGTTTATTCGTAACGTAACTCTTTCCTTTCCCATCCTCATACTTTGATAAATATCTTCGTATCCGCCAAATTAGTAGCTACGGGGCGGGGGGGGGAGGGACCCACAATGACCGCTAAAAACATCGACAGAAAAAACAAAGAGATAGGCAAAATAGGTTAAAATATCGGAACGTAGTGAAATTTGATCTTTAGCCATTGCCCACCGCATAGACTCTGACAGTTCTTACCCGGCTCCCCCCCACTCCCCACCCACCCCACTGTTTCAGTCAAACAATCTCTCTGCTCTTATCGTTGCAAAAATGAAAAAACGTTTCCCCGATAAAATTCGGACCACCGTATTGTCCATAAAACAGACATATAACGGTAAAAACTCTCCCTTATATTCTGCCTGAATAGCCCAAACCCCCCAACCCCAACGCCAAGCCGGCAGGAAGAGAGGAGTGAACTTAACAGAGCAAGGATCAATGTAGTATAGTATAAGGTAATGAACTACAAATAGATGTTCGAGAAGCACACCAACACACCAGAAAAATATGTACAAGGTCCGCCTTCCCGCTCGGGGCTTTTTTTTTTAAAAGGACAAACCAACGCACACACGGGGGCTTCCAGAAACGATCGGGAAGGTGAAGCGTGTTACTTTAGCCTCATTTTTTGCCCTTCTCTTGCATGACTTTTGTTTTCCGCAGCCGGAAAAATAAGGAAAAATTTGTATTTCTAGCGAGGTTTTGTCAAAAAAGCTCGGACGGTAAGACAAGTGAACGGACGGGAAAGAAAATGTTCATGGGGCAGGCAGCTCGGCAGATGGCCAATTTGTTCCGTTGCCTTGCTTCGGTTGGCAAATGATTAAAGAACTCTGTCAGGATCTTCCCGCAGGTACATGGACCCGCTTCGGAGGGTCTCGAATGGGCGACTGCTTGTTCGAGATTTGACATGTGAATCCTTAAGAACAACGGCCCTCGTGAACCTAACACCCTGTTTAGACGCCAACACCAGCTGCCGGTCCGCCTCGAGGCGGCGCGCAGGCACAGGGAGCAATTTTAGGCACCCACTACCCTTGCTTGTCAAAGCGCGGCAGTAGTAGTAGTAGTAGTAGTAGTAGTAGTAGTAGTAGTAGCAGCAGCAGCAGCTAGGGATGCTCGGAGCCGCCCTTATCACGTAGATCGACGGCTTTTGTCAACCCTACGTATACGGGCCTACAAAGCCTCCATGGAGAATTCAGATGCTTTGCCGACGTACAACACGATGTCTTGCATTGGCTCTCATGCGACGTCAATGTAGCGCTGACCCGCTGCTTCCGCCACCTCACAACCGACGTATGAGAGAATGCGTACATGAGCTAGGAGATACCTCTCTGCCAAGTTTGTTCATTCGAACAACCGCACTCGCGTGACAAATGTTGGTCCAAATGCAGCCACACGGCGTAGCAGGAAAGTCCAACCGGGTGTGTCGTACGGCGTCCACTCCTTCGAATGTAATACGCTCAACAGGGCAATCGGTTAGTAGACATTCGGTACATTACCGCAAAAAGCAATACTTGTCGACTCGGCTTCCAATACCGCCTTTGTGTCCCATACAAGAAGACCCTTGCACTGGCCTAGCCGTGCCGTCCGAGTACGCGCGGGGTATCTTAGTGTGCATCGAAGAAAGGTAAAAGCAAATTAGCTTTGCAAGCGTCGGTGGCACAGCAAACAGTGATGGCGTGTTAAAGCAGCGTTGGCAAACACCGTAAGAATATTGGTTGTCCTATCGAGCTTGACTCGGTCGGCCGCTGCCACGTGCGGTACCTTGGACAATGTAGCGTGTATTGCCCTGGTACAAGTACATACTTCCACCGACTTGTACTGTAGGTAGGGTTGATGGAAGGGGCCCTTGTACATTGCCGCAGCGTCGGAGGAAGACGCATTGGCAACGAGCATGTACTTCCATCCGTGTGTGATGATGTGTGCGCGAAGAACTTCATCGGACTCCAAGTACGAATGCGAGCCGTATGTGAATTTGCATGGAGGATCTGTGCTGTTTCAGTCTAGTGAAGGTGTAATTGATCAAATCTAGTAGAGTTGGACGATTGCGTGTTATCAATCGGAGGACACGGCTGCTGCTTCGCATGTTGTACGCTAGTACTGTAGAGTGGAAGCTTTGAGCAGCGGAACACCATCCATCCTTGGAAAGGCACACAGCCAACAGCTCCATGGACAAGAGCAGACAGGAGCGCCTTGAGAAACACGGCGTACCTGCAGACTGGTCTCCTGCATTGTCACTGTAAAACTGGGCTCGGTTGTCATCCGACGGACAATATACCCATTTCATTTAGGTCGATATTAACGTCCGTGTCGATCCAAGCTTACTAGAAGTTAGTAGTGCTTGTACGATTTGACACATCAAAGCACGGGACAAGTAGCATTAAGTATGTAAAAATTTGTGCTAGATTAGTATCATATCAGGACCGAGGACCGATCTCTCATGTGCGTGGAACCGTTGGCGAACACTGCGGTATGGAAGGAAAAGCAGCAGGGGTTGGTGTGATGATGCTCACACCGAGGCACGCAATGTACCTAGGCCCGTTATGATCTCGGATCTTTGCGGGCGGACCAGGTTCATGGATCGAAACTCTTGTGCCAATCTATTACCTGACAAGGGTCAGCGGAACGGCAGTGAGGTGGCCTGAGACCCCCGTTCAACCGTCAAGCGACATACCCTGGATTTGTTGAACGAAGGATTCTGGCTGCACAGTTAGTTCTGAGCATGTCCGTCGGTGATGCAATCTGGCGTAGGCCTAGGAATGTTTTAATTGAGCCAATACGGGTTTTATGGGAGCTGAAGGGCAAGCGAAGGGTACTTTGCTTGTATGTATATTCGTTGTGCTGGTCTTGCACCTCAACAATGCAAGATGTCTAGGTGTAAACCAGGGCTGCAGAAGCTCCATGTTTAACCGGGGAAACAGACAAACTCAGTCTGCTCCGCTGTGGCAGAGTTGACAGTCAAAGCCAAGGGCAAAGCATGCCAGGATTGACCTTGCGTGTGTTCGAAGAGACAGCGGCTCTCAAGACTGTGGATACGGGTGCGGCTACTGGCTCGTTTCAGCCACCAGAGTGGGCGGCATGATTGGGTAGATCCGAGTGGCGGCCGGAGAACAGACTAGGCCGTCAATCTGCACGCCATACATGGTACAGGGCTTGCCTTCTCTAGCGCTTCGACAGATTGATTGCAGTACTCGTTCATCAAGGATGAGTGATCTGCAGTCAGGGGTGCAGCATCAAAATGACTTTATGCTGACGAAAGGACAACGAGAGGTCGGATGTGCTGGCTGTGTGTGAATGGTGTAAGTACGGCCGAGAAGCGCAGCGTGCATGCAACACGGACAGGCAAGGGAGATGTAAGAGGGGGAGGAGGTGCAGCGCCAGTTCAGCCTGACAAGAAAAGACGCCGAGACGCATCAGGACTAGCGCCTAATACCCCGCCCCCGCCTTCCTCCTTCGGCGAACCCTAGCCAAAAAAAATGTTTGCACAGAATTATTCGAGCAGACATCCAAACGCAGCGCACAGCAAACATGGCAGGCCTAGATGAAGAGACGATAGACGACATCCTCTATCTCGCGCGCACAAATGAGGCAACGGAGCTTGATTCGTTTCTCTCGGAACTGTCAGCTAAGGCCAAGCAGTCCAAGGCCGAATTGCTGACCGCGGCAATCGATCCGTATTCTAAGAACAGCGCACTGCATTATGCTGCTGCCAACGGCCACAACGGTACCGTCCTTGAGCATCGATACTATAATGCCAAATCTGACCCGTTGTCTAGACGTCATCAAACTGCTCTTGTCGACCAGCACGGACAAGCCTCGCCCAGAGTTTCTTAATGCCGTCAATGAGGCAGGCAACACCCCTCTTCACTGGGCAGCCCTGAATGGCCACCTTGAAAGCGTGAAACTTCTCATAAATTCAGGTGCAGACGTTACCATTGTCAACCGAGCAGGCCACGACGCCGTGTACGAGGCGGAAATTAACGACAAGAACGACGTGGTTGACTGGCTGCTTGGCGCCGTTGAAGAACTGGAAAAGGGCATCGGCCAGACTGGTGAGGGGTCGGCCGAAGAGAGTGCTGACGAGGATATGGGCGGTGTTAATGTGGACAGTGCAGAAGGCGACAAGACATCCCCACAGCAGACGACAGTCGGGTCAGCGGTGGAAAATGCCCGGCAACAGATGGAGCACTTGAATACCAAGGATAGCACGACAAAGGATGGTTGAGCAGCCGAAAACCATTGCCGGCGATCAAGGCGCCTTGCTGGCGATCTGCCCGTTTGCAAGGAAGCGTACATGCTGAGTAGGACGGAAATGTCGGTGCAGCAGGCATATCGCTGCATGGCATGGTCTGCAGTTAGCAGGACCGCATCTGTGTCGCACATGATCAGAGCTGTGGTGCCAGCAAGGAAGGCTGAGGATTATGCGTGCAGAAGAGAGAAAGATTCTAGACCGAGGGCGTGGCAGACGGATTGTCATTGCATCCTACTCTAGGATAAGCACTACAGCGAATAAGACCGCTTTTGGGTCTTTGACATGAGTTGCAACCCGGGCCTCTTGCTCCTCTTAATAATGGCTCTATAGACATCTCTAGACCAAAGAATAAGGAATGGGATTGCTGTGATCTGCCATGACTTGCTCGTGCAGACGCTGAGAGCATGGGCGTGCCTGTGCAGAATGTGTATCGTTGGTGGCGCGACGCTAAACAAACCACTTCAAACGTAGCGTGGGCTTTCTTCGAGAAAAACGTATCATGTCCATGAATCAAAGGTACAAAGACCAAGCAAGTGTCAAGCCCTACCTGGGAAGATGGGTGCGGCTTGATCACGTCAATGGCGCTGCCCATGCCTAGGGTCGCATTAGTGGACGTATTGACTTTGTCGTCTTTTTTTCTTGCCTTACCGCCCATGCGTTCAGTCGGAGCGGAGCCAGGCTTTGCGCTTCTCTTCTTTCTTCTCCTTGCGCCTCTCGTTGTATTCCTTGAGTTGCTTCTTGGAGAGAGTTTTTGCGCGGCGCTCTGCCTTGAGACTGCGGCCGTCGTGGCTGTTTGCAGCGGCATCTACGTCGAAGAAGGCATACATTTGCCTTTTGCTTTTATTCTCGTCGTTGTGAAGCTCCGGTCCTTGGCCAGCTTGTTGGAACTTGCCAGTAAAGCGGTTAAATTGAGCGGTAGCTGAGTAGTCATGTCCCGCTCCGTATGGTGCGTTGAGGGTGGCAGCGGCAGCGGCAGCAGCAGCCGCCTCTGCCTCCTCCTCTTCCTTGGTGGCTTCCCTGGCGTAGTCTGCGTTAGGATCGTAGCTGCCATGAATTGCGGGATTGTATCCACCCCACTTGCGCCGAGGAGGAGAACTAGTTCCAGGCGCGCCAGCGGTTGAGGCTATGGCGGATGAGCTGCTGGCATGGTTTCTGTCGAGTTCACGTATTAGGCTAGGAAAGATAGACGAAGACGATGATAGTTAGCAAACCTGTCGTACGAGCCATATGTATACGTGGTAGCCTCTGGTACGCGGGGGTTTTCCCACTGCGAGACACCCGTCTTGCGATTGTAAAAGTACCAGGCGCCGGCGTTGTAGTCCCACTTGCTCTCCCAGCCATCGTCTTCAGCATCAGGAATGGGCTCGTCTGGGAGCGGAGGCGCGCTGTCGTCATAGGGAAGCGGAGCCTCAGCGCCTGGCGCGTAGCTTCCGTCACGGTTGGATGCGACCACGTTGGCAGCCTCTGGGGTGCTGGAGCGGCCGTGACGGGACGGCGTGGTAGCAGCAGCAGCTGGCGGAGACTTGGGCGCCTCGTCCTTGTCGCTGTGCTCAGGGGCCATGACAACTGTTCACTGTGCGCTCGGGCGGGATTAAATAATCCGCTACGTCAGATTTTATGTATGCTTCATGCACGCTGTGGCGGCGAGGATGCGAACAGGAAGGCGACGACGGGGGTTGGGTGGTGGTAGTGGTGTTGGTGTTGTTGCGCATGCCAGACTGGGTCGCGGCTGCAGAGATTCGAGGCTAGCTTGGCATGCACCCGCTAGTCGCGTAAGCAAAGGCGCTAGCGGGCATGTGACCGGGGCACTCACTCCCGGCGACGCTCATGTGGATGCATGTACGTACTAGGCCGACGTCCTATTCCTAGTAGAGCAGAGCATTATGCTGTCTGTACGTACCGTACATGTACGTACACTCCTACACACTCCTACTCCTACTGCTGCTGCTGCTGCTACCCCAGCATTGCCAATGACTCGCAAGCCGCCTCGCTTCGGGCCACACTCAACGGCGATCCGCCTGTGCCTGGCTTTCTCGCTGTCGGCTGTCGGTCCTTTGTCTCGACATCGCATCCACGGTGCGAGCGGCGAGGGCGAGAGTCTTGTACACTACACTGCACCTAGCCCTCAGCATGTAGGCGTCATCACAGGCCGAGTGGGCCACGACACCCGTCCCTACACAGTAGATCGACATTACAGCTACAGCAGCCTCACCCACCTGCACGCCATGTGCACGGCGTACGTGTACGCACGCCCATTGACGGAGCGGTACTCTGTGACAGCATGCTACCATGTGTCAAGCCATCAAGGGCTCCCTCCGGGGCTTGCTCTGATTATCTACGCCGCCCAGCGCCCCAGCAAAGGCCGGCTTGGGCGAAACCGAGCCAAAGACGTCGAGCCGTTCGGCGCGGGTCAAGATGGCTTCATGCAAGCAAAGCCAGAGGCGTTAGGGGGGATCCGGGATGCGCAACAATCGAGATGGGCTCCATCGGCCGCTCAACGGCTGCTGTGAGGCCATTCCGATTGGCCTCCGCCGCCGCTTTAGCACGGCCACCGACGTCTCCTCCCCAGCTGACAGCACCAAGGCACGCCAGCTTCTTCGGTTTGCACGCCCATGGCCCATGGCCCATGGCTCGGGGCTGCTGGCGATACAGGGCCGACCGCCGACACCCGCTTGCATCGGGCCTCTTGTTTGCCCTTGTCGACGGCCGCCCGTCTGCCTTTGCCTTGTCCTCTGCTGCAGCCAGTCCAGTGCATCCTTTCCCGTGGCTGCGCTCCTTTCGCTACATCTGGTCCCTTGGCCTCAATCCACGCTGCCCCCATTGGACAGAAGCGCTCCAGAACCTAACGCCAGGTCCCAAACTTTGGCGGCAGAATAGCAAGGACATGTTCACTGCATTCCGTTCCCATGCTGCATGATCTGCACAGGTCATTAGCGGTAGCTGCGGTTGGCCAGTGCCGTGTTGGTACGATCTGGGGCTCACATCGCCCACGCGCCATCCATAACTGCAGTAACGTGCATCCGTCTGCATCGCTCTCACCACGCTACCCTGTCCCCAGACGGTATCGACTCGATAGCTGCAGCCAATATCCCGGCTGGCTTATCCACTACCCCGGTTGGTCCTAGCATCTTCGGGTCTCAAACAGCGAAGAGCTCCATGACCATGTCCCTGGCGGTCCGTCACTGCACGCCACTGGCATGATAGCTGGCCTATTTTGAAGCCGCGGTCGCTTCCCTTCGGAACCTCTTCTTACAAGGGCGTCCTGGTAAGCTCTTGACTGGCCGAGCACAGGTCCCGCTGTCGCCCGCCCACCTCCACCTCTGTTACCCGGTATTATCGTATTTATTGCTATTGCCCTTTGCCTTCGCGACCAGGCAATCCAAGCATTGTCCGCTGCGTGCTCGGTGTCGATTGCGCTCACAAGGTGCCTGCGCCGCATGTCATAAACCCTGCGGCTGTAAGTTCGTCCCGTCTTGCCCCTACATACCCTTTCCCCATGCACTGCTGCCTTTATGTTTCGGTTGTAATTCATAAGAAGCCGGAGAGAGCTGTGCTTCATCTCCAGGCGTCAACCCTGCACGGACTGGTGGTTCTTTTGGCATATTTCTTCCAGACTGCAATAGCCCGCAGCAAATATTCCGGTGCAGGCTAGCCCACGCGCAATCACACTCTTGTTCGTTGGCAGCCTTTCCCATTTTGTCCCCCCTTCCATACCCTTGTACGCACGACCAGACGATCATTAGCTGATGCCCTATTTGCATCAGTGTCACAGCTCAGGCATCGCCTTGGTCCTTCAAAGGGTTCAGGTAGTTCCAAGCTCCTGCTGTCCCAGAAATCTTCATATGGCCGATTGAGAGGGTGCACCGTGGAGGTTATCCCGTTTCAATCGCCGAACATCACAATCTCCATCACTTACTATGCTCCTCAACATGAGTCGTCCGGCTCGTATACCCTCACACTCAGGCCCTCCACCGTCCTACGGTTCCTACCCGCCACACCATGCTTCAGCCTCTCGACCAGAAATTATTGCACCTGGCCACCAAGTTCGTCCTGCTGACTCCACTGGCAACCAGAGCAATGCTCAGCAACTGCCGAGTCTTCGTACGCTCTTGGAACCAGAGCTGCTCGACAAGAAATCCTCCGATCCACCACCATTGAGTGCGTCTGGTAATCAGCATCCCTATACACAGGGTGGACGCTACGGATCTTCCAGTCCGACGTTGAAACGGCGACACGAACACGATAGCCACTTCCATGGCTACCCAGAGCACAATACCGTGGCTTCACAGTCGCTCTATCACCATCGTCAGTCGCTTCCGACCACAACCGCTACTCCGTCTACTGCCTCGTCAACATCCAGCTCCGGATTCGGTATGGGTCGACTAGAACTCCAACGCCGCGAAAGTTTTGTCCATCCTTCGCAGCATGACCTGGCTGGCAACGGGCACCGGCAGCCTTCACTGGCGTCTGATTCGGCGGGCTCAATCATGGGCCAACAGGAACTAGGATTCGATCCGAGCAGGCCTGTGAGAATGCGACGGCTCGATGGCTCCTCACGCGCACCGATGCAATCTTCCCGATGTGTTGGCCAGCGTGACATACCGGGCGAAGGTCTTTGTTACGTCTATGAGGATGGCACCTATTGCCGTGCCATTATAGATGGCGAGGCAGTCAACCCCTCATGGGGCATCACCAAGGCAGGCAAACCTCGAAAACGCCTTGCACAGGCCTGCTTGACTTGTCGCGAGAAGAAGATCAAGTGTGAGCCGGGGTATCCAAAATGCCACCAATGCGCAAAGTCGCAACGAGTGTGTCGAGGGTAAGTGGACTTTTTTTTTCCTCGTTCAGACTATATCGTGTCTTTTTATTGTGGAGGGAGACAAGCGCATTAGCTTGGGAGCCGAAGCATTAAAGCGTGTATCACTTGTTGACAAATGTTGACCCTCGGCAGTGGAATTAACCAGAACAATGTATCCGGCGAGACGTCTCCATCAGGTTCCGCTCCGCTATATAAACATCCATCGTCTGAAGTGCTTAGTCCTTCAGCGGCTACCGAGAGAGCCAGAGCGATTGGAGAACCACGAGAACCACGAGAATCCGCCATTGATCCTTGGAACATCAATACTCCTTATAGGCCACGGAAAATTCGATCAACTGCCATTGGAAACAAGAGAGACATGTCAGTACACTCGTACGACTCAGATTGGAGTGGCTCTGCAAATGAACAGGTCATGGAGGAATTTGGACGCGGCTCGTACTCTGATCCCCTTGCGCTTCAATGGGAACAGGACCCTTTTGAAACTGACCCCAGGATCACGATGGATTTGCTGGAGCTCTATTTCGGCCATGCCGGCCGCGCAACATACAACATATTTCCACGTCGGGCATTCCTTAGGTGGGTGGAGACAAGTCGTGATAAGAGTCAAGACCACTTGATGCTCCTCTACTCGATCCTGGCAATGGGATCCGCTTTTGCAGCGGATCCAGAGCGAAGATCGCTAGGCAAGAGATTTGTTTCTGTTGCTTCATATGCGGCTGAAAAACGCTTCGGGAAATTCAGTCTACAGTTATGTCAGACGCGGTTGATGCTTGCGTTATATTTTTTCGCCAAAGGCAAGTCACAGGAGGCATGGGACTACTGCGGAGCTGGCCTACGAGCCATCAGCGCACTGAAGCTTAACACAGAAGATGGCATCAAAGACCTCGCGGACAGTAATGCCAACCCTGACTACGGTTTCGACCGCCAGACCTTTGAAGAATGCTGCCGACGTACCTTCTGGTCTGGACTACTGATGGATGTAAGTTACGACATCATCATCAAGGACCCGGCACCCGTTGACTTGACATCCCCACAGCGATACAACGGCTTTTTTGGGGGGACTTTGTTTGTTTTCAGCATGGAAGACGCCTTTGTTCGGCTCCCATGTCTGGACAGGATGTACGAGTCATCGACTCCATCCGACACGCCCTTCTTCAGCGAAGAGCTTCTCAGTGGAAGAGGGGCACCTATCACCATCTTGGGTCATATGGCACACTTGTGTCTAATCTCAACGCTGTGGGGTGAGGTGCTGACCTTCACTGGCCGTGCTGCTCGGCGACCCGACGCTGGATACGAACGGCATTACGAAACTTTCTACGCAAAGACTTACGAGAAACTGGATGCTTGGCACGCCATGCTTCCCGAAAACCTGCGTTATACCATGCAAAATCTCGATACGAGTATCATTGAAGGATATGCAGGTACCTTCATATCGATACATGCTCTGTATTGTGCAGCAACGATTCGACTGAACCGACACGTCCGCATCAATGCATTGCCAACAGACAAAATATGCCGGAACCTTAAGCAGGCCTTCTTCATGGCCTCCAATTTCCTCTCCATGATGCACTCAGTAGCCAAGGTCAACCGTCAGCAGCGTCTTCCAGCGGCCGCAGCATCCGAGTTTTTGTTCTCAACACCGTTCCCTGGTTATGCGCTCATGCTTTCTGTTGATGTCCTCACCTCCGCAGGTCTCTTCTCGACTTTACCAAAGTTGATTGAGACATTGAGCACCACCCTTTCGTGTATCGATGAACTAGCAAGCTTTTGGTCATCGGCAAAAACACAACAGAAGGCAGTGTCACAGCGTATCAAGCAACTTGCCGAAATGGCCGCTTCAGAAGGACAAAGTGTCAGGAACAGCGGTCATGGAAACTTCTGGAGAACCACCAACAGTCTGCAGACTTCCTTTGCAAACGACGATGCGCTGTACAAGACCGATGACCAGTTGCTGTTTGGCGTTGTTGGTCAGCTTACAAGCTAGTTATCGCTCAGCAGTGCAAACTGATGGCACAGCTAATACAACCACCAGACACGGGTTGTCTTTTCGACATACACAGCAAACATAGAGGCACCAGATGCTCGTAGCCTGCATCGGAGCCTTGAGGTTCGGATAAAGCGTGAACATGGTCCGCTCGAAACTTGCCGCTGTCACATCTCGGTTTTCGCATGTTTCATTCATGCACACTCTAGCGAACTACTTTTCTTGTATTTGGGTTGAAACCAAGCCTTAGAAGTTGCGAGAAGCAGTACAGACAAACACTCGTCTCGAATGCGTATCGTGTCATCGAGCAATCATGATGAGACTCTCTTTCTGCGATTGCAATGTTCAGCTACTTTGTAATTGTACCGTTCTTTTGTACATCATTGGAGCATTTGGAAGGCGTTATCACAATCGGGTTTTGGATAGGACAAATGGGGTTCATGGATGCAACCTCAAAATATGAATAGCCAACGACAAATTACGTATCAACCCGGCTCCCGGTCATCTACTCTTAGTGGTAGTATTATATAAGAGGTGCTTGTAGGAACACTGCAACACCATGATTATCCAAGCACCCAACGGGTCTGAACAATTACAGCATCATGACAACTTGAAAGCGTCTACTCAAACCGAGGCCTGATCCATCGTTTGATTTACACAAGAAGGCCACTGGTGGAGTGAGGCTCATGCGAATCCAGGCATCCATCGGGAATACCCACGCTTGGGGCAAGACAGCGTGATCAACTCTGCCTGTGGTATCACCTCACACGGCACGTTTCTTGCCTTTGTTGCACCATGGCTTATGGGGACAGAGGCTAGTATCCGTACCTTGCACCTCGGGTGCTACCTCCCACGCTGGACTGCAACCAACAACCAGCGAAGCAAGGTTGAACCATGCGGGGTTCCGCTCGGCCTAACAAACCATGAGAGTACATATGAACGTGCTTTACAGCCTCTTTCAGGTCTCAGACTTTGGTCGAGTGTGTCAACAGCGCCAATAATTCACAGCTGACCCAAGTCCTCGTCCCGAACTGACGCCAGCG